AGAGTCACAAAAGATGTATCCTTAAGTGCTTTTATTAACAGCCAAAATGCTGAAAGAACACAAAGTAACAAGGATCTACAGTCCAAAATAGAAAGAAAAACAAACCTCAATATATATGTACAGGTCGAAGAAATATAACTGGTACCTCTCTGCTCTACAGCCAAAGTCAGACTAACTTCAAAACTAGTGATGTTACGTATTGCGCCGAGGCTTCGGAGCGTGTGTCGAGTAATCCCCGAAGCTTTTTGTGAAGCTTGTATCGAGGCTTGTATCGTTTTGGGCCAGTGACGTCATCGATGACAAACGAAGCCTCGCTGCCTGTCGATACCACGTGACTGCTTCACGAAGAGATTCAGATCGGTTGAACCGTTGAACCACAACGCTCATAATACCCATGGATGTATAATAAGAACCATATTACCCCTCCTGTACCCGGGCCCGGTGACACGATGGAATCAAGAGAGCTCGGACCCTCACTTATAGAAGTCGGAACATGTCATAAGTATAAATAGATACAAGCATAAATAAATGTAGGAATAAAAACATGAATGAATAAATACAGGAATAAATATGTTACAGTGTTTTCAGGAAGATTCAGTGTGTGTGCTGTGGCTCAGCTGGAAAGCAGTTGACTCACGACCGTAGGGTCCCTGGTTCAACGACTGAACAATACGTATTTGTTGTTGTTTATAAAAGCTACAGCTAAATGAGATAATGTAGTTAATAAATGTATTCTTTTATATGGTTTAGCCTTTCTCAGGCTACAACATGGTTACCTTTACGAATATTATTAAGGAATACAAATCCCTCTTTGCAATGTTTACCAACCTCCTTAGGCTTTTCAATCACAATCATGAAACTGGAATAAATACAATATTGTTAACATGAAAATATGATTTAATGTTCGTTGTTTAGATGTATTCTAAGGATTTACTCAATGGGAACTCGGTATGAGAGAGCACACTGTTGAGATGTCCAATCTGCCTGTTGTACACACTTTGACCAACAGGGGGTTTGTGTTCAAATGAAGCCCATGATGAAGCCTCATGAGATGAACCCTTTTGCGAACCAATTGGCTGGAAAGCTTCAAAGCTTCATAAGGCATCATCTCACCATCACTATTCAAAACACTTGTGGCCAGAGGTTTATATATGTTAAGCCCCTCCCCATAGGACAATCAACTATGTATACCTTTAATTACTGTTATTCTTATCATCTACAAACATATTCAAAATGTAGTTAAACACAATGAATAGGTCAACATATTCTACATTTCTGACCACAGAAGCCTTAAACAAAAACACTTTTACACTTGGAAGAAAATGGTCACCCGTGCCCATGCACTACATGGGCCCTTTCTCATTTCTCGAACTCTCCTCCTCGACTCCCCTCCTCGACTCCTATCCTCGATACTTAGTCCCGCCCACAGGAGATGCGAGCCGAGGAGCCGAGGAGAGAGGAGGGGAAGCAACAGGCGGTTAGAGAAATGAGAACTCCTCTCCTCTGAGCGGTCATTTTAAAGAGACGTCCATTAATGATGACAGGAGGCACAGCAGCAGTAAATATATAAGTGGTCATGAACACATCTGTCCATCAGACAGAGGTCTGATGGACAGATGTGTTCATGACCACTTATATATTTACTTTTAATTCATTCACAGTGCGGTATAATGAGACAATAACAGGCTACAGATGCGGACACACCCCGTAAAAAAAAAAAAAAAAAACTTGGTTTTCCTGAATTGTCTTTCTGCATAATCCCAAATTGGAGACAAATGTCCTTACCTCTTGGATCATTCAATCACGAGCACAGAGCAAAGGTTCAGAAAATGAACACAGGTCTTCTAATACAATCACTTTTGTTTTTGAGTGAAACTCTGCAAATGGTTTGACATGAGCAATTAAGTATATTTTAATGCCTTATACCTATGAAGCGCACAGACATATCTTTATTTAAAATGCTGATATTCAGGGTTAATCTTCAGACTTTGGAAAAAACACTTTAGTTCCGTGCACAACATTACTTTGTGCAAAACTTTTCCTTCTACATTATGAAACCCACACAGAACAATGTAGCCATCTAACAATCAAGCAAACGCAATGTCACCTTCATCACCCGTCTGCCTGTATTTACTATAGAATATTGAAGACATGAAGGACAGTACGTTAAATTAGGTTTATTGTCTTCCAAATAAATAATACAAGCGAACAAAAACAAGTCTTTTAAGTAACATCAATAATCAAACATAGAAATGGCCAATGGTGGGGGGAAAAAAATAAATCACATTTTGTCGACCATTTTTTCGAACAGGGTTAGAAATGTATCTGAGTGCTGCATTATTTCTCTGTGGCGTTCGTCCTCTTTTTCTGCCTCGCGTTCTAGGCACTCCAGCACTCCCATAGCACCTTTTCTTTTTTTGGGGGGGGGGGCTGCTGGGTGGTTCCAGCCTCAGACAGTGATGTGAGAGGTCTGGATCATCAGCCACATTTGGGGGGGGGAAGGAAGAGGAGCAGGAAGCAGCCTCCGGATCGAAGAGGATTGTGGGGTTTGCCAAGGCTGAGGCAACAAGGACAGGAGGACTAATTGAAGGCCTTGCACCTATGGCCTCATCCATGGCCATGAAGAAGGGCCATGTTGCAGGGGTTTCTTCCCCCTGATCAGTCCCTGTTCCAGTCCTTGGCCTTTTAAGTTCCTATTGCAAACAAATGCATGTTAGAAATCTTTGTTCAGCTTTTTCAAAAACAAACATGTTTTACAATAACAATACACCATTTACCTTGTATTTCTTTTTTAGGTTCTCCTATTTCTTGGAGGCCTGTTTGTGAGACACATGTTGCCCAAGGTCCAGTTCCTTAATGATTGACCTGTTATCATAGAATATTTAAACAATATATATTGGTGTTAAGGCAATGACCCACAGTGCACATTCATTATAATAATAATAATTCCTTACATTTATTATAGCGCTTTATCAATGACTCAAAGCGCTTTACATATACACACATTACACATATATGATACATGCAATGGTCAGATTACTTTCATTGCACAAAATATGAATTGAGTGCATAACTCACTCCCATGCTTCTTTGGCAGCATTGCGTTTTTTGCAGAACAGGTCGTCCTTGTCCATCCTTAAAGCAATAAGTGCCTTGGTTTTTACCACAGTCCCTGAAATTACAAATCACACTTGAGTTTAAACCGATTTCGTAAGTGAATGGATACATGAATTGACACGTGTGTTGTTAGTTTGATTCCGATTTAGATTTGTACATCTTCAAAATAAAAATCTAATGTAATCTTGGCAAATCAAATTAACACGTGTAGATTTATAAATACATGTTCACAAAGGCATGTTTTAGTTAAGGCAACGTATTATTTATCGTTTAAAAAAAGAACCACATGGAACTCACATTTGTATGACGTTGTTTCCTCCATGCCCGAAAAACGGTTGCACACCTGTGGAGTGAGATTATCAAGCCTGCATCCATACAAACTCGCTGTCGGAGGCTTTTATAACCCACTACGCCCCCTCCCTGATTGCTTTGGACCAGCCCTCAATATGGCGGACCCTTCGCGTGAACGTGCAAACGGGGGGGTAGGGTGTAGGGGGCGGTTTGGGAATGGGCCTAGATGTCCTTCAACATGGCGCGCTGAAATTCATTTCCGGGTCACTACCGGAGGACCGAGGAGTCGAGGAGTCGAGGAGGGGGATTTGATGAAATGAGAAAGGGCCATGGTATGCTCAAATTGAGCACAGGTGTTTCCGTTTTCTGTTGCTCTGTTTGGACTTCACAGCCTTGAACGAGAGGAAGCAGGTTACTTTGGCACATCATTGTTATGTATGACTTCAAATAAAGCTGTCTTGAACAAATAATGACTTGCGTTTTATTTTACCAATGTCCAGCAAAATTATTATTGTGTTTCCCTCAGTGTGCCTTTTACCATGCCCCTATGCCAGGGGTCTGCAACCTTTTTGACCAAAAGAGCCATTTTGCTCCTTTTTCCAAAAAAAATTTTTGTCTGGAGCCTCAAAACATATTTCAGTTTTTTATTGTTATATCAGACAAAAACTACAGTTTTTTTGCATTTATTAGGCTATTCATGACATGATATAAAACTGTTAACCTCTAATAAGAAACAAATAACTCTTATAAGGAGAATTAAAAATAATACACAGGCCTACTTTAAAATAAATTAAACACCTCTGCACATTTGAAGGAACAAAAAATATTATTAAAATGGGCCCACTTTGAAATAAATAAAACATATAGCTGCACCCTAAAAAGAGTTAAAGGTAGGGTAGGTAAGAATGGAGAAACCGGAGAAACCAGCTCGAGTGGCTAGAATTTGAAAGTACACAACCGGAAAAAATCTGTCTCTTCCTTCAGACTTCCTTACAGAGCCCCTCCTCCAACACACACGAACGCGCACATGACCAATGAGGGCACGAGATAAGTTTGTGCACAGATGGAAGGCTGACAGGCAGGTAGGCCATCCAGTTATTTTAGCCGGCTTTTTACAGCGCTACGGCTTCCACAGATTAATTTTTGTATGTATTTATTGTCAAAGCATTTAATATATTCATTGCTATCGGGACGTTAAGAGCATTCCATGGAATATAACAAAAAGCGTTTTCTGAAATCAATTACATACCCCATTGAATTATGACTGAAGATCGTCAGCTGTCTTCCTCTCCCGTGTTGTTCCTCGATACGTAAAGGCTGCACCACCGTTGACAACTTCTCTCTACATATCAAACATACCGGTAAACCAGCATCGTTTGCTGTGAAAGCAGATAACTGTCCACACAGAATTAAATCCTGTGTTCCTCCGGTACTTTTCTTTGATTTATCCATAGTTCGCTCATCGAGCCGGGGGTCAGGTTATTCACCTCCAAGAAAAGGCGCTCGCGCGGGACCGGAGCAGGATGTGACGCATATTTTAGTTGACCTAATTAAAACCGTTTTGTTTTTTATTTATGTGTCACAGTATCACCTCAAAATACAAGATACGAAACATTTTCAACCATGCAACAAAATATAAATAGTCCTACAAATACTTTTATTTTATTTCCTTCTTATTTTTGTCTAAGCTCAAGGGAGCCAGAGCAGAGGGCTTAAAGGGCCGCGGGTTGCCGACCCCTGCCCTATGCCAACGGTGATGGAGGCGTCTTCTTCAGTCATACACCACCAATCACTGTAATTTACATTTTGATTATATTTGGATGGTGAAATTGTTAATAAATCATATTTTTTAAATGTTTCAGACTTTGATACATATAAATATTGACAATAATACATTTCTTCTTAACCTGAATGCAAACAATGTTAACCCATTCATTCCCACACACTCAGACACTCAATTCAATGTTACGCTGCTATGGACAATCTTGGACTAATGCACTAATTCCCAAAGATATTGAAGTGACTGTTATTTTGTATATATTGATTGTTGTTGTGTCTGTTGATTGTGTGTATATAGGATATACATATGTTATACATATTTGTATTTTTGTATTCGGGATTGTTGGAAATGTTATTTAGATCTCTGTACACACGAACTGAAAGATTTACTTTTGATTATTGGATCATACTTTTTTAGGGATTTGACAAATGCCTCAAAATCTCAAGGAACATCTTACTGGCATATAGCATCTCTACTCTTTTTGAGACTAATGTATGTTTATGCATGGTCCTTGTTCAATAAAGACATATAATAATGATAATAATACCAAAGATGCCGTGCAGTTGATAAAATCCGGACTGTTTTTATTTCAGCCATTGACTGATAGTCAATGGATAGTATTCTCCACTGTGCTGCTCGAGTGGCCTAATTGAACGTATTCAATTGACAATTCATTGGCAGGATGACATTATCATACTGGAACGCGTCAAAGTCACAATTGCCAGTTGGAGCCGAGTGAAGTGTTGAAACTAAAATAGAAAGTGAAAACACAGCTCTGCACCTACGGAGGTGTTATTAGAAAAGATCCAGTAGGTGGATGAGAGTGAGCAACAGCAACATAGATCACAGTGTAGGTTTCATAATGGATTCACCAAATGAATGAGAAAGGAGGTATAATGAAATGTATAAACACATATGAATGCACGCTGTACTGCTCAGCCACAATGCAGATGTTGTTGCTTTAATGCTGTTAACCAATTAGCTGGCATTGCAGACAAGTCATTATTGATCCCTGTCTTCCCTCTTTAATTTTTTATTCTTAGCTTATATGTATGTTTTAAAAAAGGCCAGAAATATGATTCTCAGTGCTTTTGCAAAATCACAATGGGAAAAATGTCACCTAAAAGGGCTAAGAAACCGTCTTTTGTGCTTTTATTTGCTGTTGTTGAGCCATAAATTGAAGCTAATTGGACAACCGGCTGCTGAGTCGGTGCAACACTAATATGACTGGAGGATCATTGGTTAAAATCTCTACTTGGGGAAAATCCTGCTGGAGTGAATGTGAAGCATTCATCCTTCTTCCGTAAATGCCATTAGAGAAACGTTGTGCTACAAAACATTGGATTGGTCCGCTGGAGTCGCCCAACGGTCATCAGCTCAGCGAATGGAGTGTTAACTGGACCACCAAGGCTGTGATGCCCTGTGCTAAAATAACACTCACTTACAAGGGGAAATGAAATATGACTCTTAGACCTTGTTAGTAGCAAGAGTCATATTTTAGGTCTGTGGGGCTGCACTTTTTTAGCTACATGCTAACATCAGCGCTGCTCTAATAAGCTCACGATCGTGTTAAAAAACTACCAGTATAAGTGTACATGATTTGTAAAGTGTATATGCTTTGTTTTGAAAAAACTGCCATGTGTGGAATAAACAAATAAACAAACATACTGAATTTAGCAGATATACAGGTAAGGTGTTCCATTCACCGCACCTTACTTTAGCATGTTAGCATCCTAACACCTGTCAATTAGCTCAAAGTACAGTTTTGTCATGAGGGGAATGTCATGAGTTTTGCAGGTATTTAGTCATAAAACCACGGTATTGGACACATTGAAATGTTGATGGTGTTAGATAAAAGGTCAGGGGATTATCAGAGTAATCACTGTTATCCTGGGGGGGAGATTAATGTCTGCAACTAATGTCAAGGCAGTTCATCAAGTAGTTGATACATTTGAGGGAAAATGTAAAAATGGCAACCATGGTTGCGTTAGAGGAATGTCAGGAGATCAATAACATAGTTGGTCCTTATCCTCTGGGGAACATGACTATCATGATGTCAAATTATTTAAATAGTTGTTGAAACATTACACTGAAGTACCAAATGTCCTTCTCATGGCGGCGTTAGAGGAAAAGTCAGGATATGAGCAAATTCACTAGGATTCATCCTCTGGGGACCATGCTTTTCCGCTTCAAATTACTTTGCAAACCTTCCAAAAAGTAACCCATCCCTCAAGGGACCAAACAATCCTTGGAAACTTAAAAAATGCCTTAATCTTTGCTTTTCATCTGCCATTAAAATGTAATTAAAATTCACCTGGTAAAGAAGTGAATGTATCTTATCTCCAAAAGTTAAAGCATTTCATTAAGACTTGAAATGTCAACGTTGAAGAACAATTCAGGGCGTCACTGACATCATTAGGTCTAATCCACTGGGGAACATGAATGACGGTACGAAATGTCATACAAAAATGAAATAGTTGTCTACACTCAAGAACAAAATGTCCTTTTACTTATTACAGAGGCAATAGAGGATAAGTCCGGAGATCACCAAAGTCACATGAAGTTATCATCTGGGGACCATGACTAGTAAAAACTTCACATGTTAACGTAATGCCAGTGTAAGAGGAACAAGACAGAAAGTCACTGACATCATTAGATGTAATCCTCTGGGGAGCATGCATGTCTGTACACAACTTAGTAGCAATCCTTGCAGGATAATGAGATTTCCAAGTCTGAAACAAAGCGGAAGATTTCTTGATTCACACCTTTCATTGTGTTGAAATGAACTCACCAGAGTATTACATGTAATGGTTACATGAAATCCATGTAAGATCACTCCTAATAGGGAAATATCTGGTAGAACAGCGATTCCCAACCTTTTTCAACTCAGGGCCCACTTAAGAATCAAAAAAATTGTCGGGGCCCACATTCAACCATAAACAATACGGTGGCTAAATAAAGTTCTGATTGGTCAGTTCAGATCATGTGACGCGTTGTTAATCCAGTAGAACAGACCGCTGTCAAGGACTGTACTGACCGTTGTTAAGGAGGATCAAGAAAGAGAATGGAAAAGAGGTTAAAATAAAAATAAATCTTAATAATGAAAATGTTTCCACACAAATCATAATATTTTGCAAATTATTTGGCAGCAAATATTGAATTTAAACCCTTTAATTAATTAATTCCTTACATTTATTATAGCACTTTTCCAGATGCTCAAAGCGCTTTACAAATACACATATTGTTTATACATGCAATGGTCACTGTGGACAATACCCACAGGAGCAAGTTCAGGTGAAGTGTCTTGCCCAAGGACACAACGGCTTTACAGACGCAGCAGCGGCGGGTTTCACCCGATCTGATGATCATTGCACTGCGCCACACCGTCCATCTTCACGCCTCGAAGTCATCGAGGCGCTTTTACAAGTACACATTGATATTATACATGTACTGTGGACATTACCCACAGGAGCAAATCCGGGTGAAGTGTCTTGCCCAAGGACACAACGGCCTGACGCAGTGGCGTCAGGAGCGGGTTTCGAACTGGAGTTCCCCAGCACCCCCCTTGATCTGATGATCAGATGCACAGACCAGAGCC